TATTTTTCTTTATATTAATTATTTATATAAAAAAATCTATAAAATAATTAATATATATTTAAAAAATAAATATATAAAGAATAAATATAATTAATTTATAGCAAAATATATTTATAATAATAATTAAATGTATTATTTCCAATAATTTAATTTATATATAATTTCAATAATTTAATTATTATAAAATCAGGAAAAAATAAGATTGTAAGAAATATTTCTTTATAAAACTAAGAAAAAACAAAGTACCACATAGTTATAAATACCTGCTTGTGAAAAGTAAATCTCTATAAAATCTAGGGACAGGGTTAGAGTTGGAATTTCTTTTCCCCCTTAGGCTATCTTAAAATTATCCACCTGACCCACTATAAAATCAATATTTTCAAAATTGATTTTTTGCAAAATTTATTTAACCATGTGGATGCTCAATGTTGGGGAACCTGGTTTATGATTTTATAGTGGAGCTATCTGAAAGGATGTCAATAGAATCTGGACCTGCGTCCTTGATTTTATAAAATGGCTTCTTTTGGGATGGTTATATCTACCATCAATTTCAAAAAAAATAAAAACAAAAATAAGTGAAAATAAGTGAAAAAAAAAAATGGAAAAAACGTGCCATCATGGGACACTTTTTGGCACCGGGATTGTTGAAGTAAAACCTCTCGATGAAATCAAAAAAATAATTCCTATTTGGGGGCCCTTCAAACCTGAATTTGCCATTTTGCAGTACTTCTGTGCCTCACTATATGGAAAGGTTTAAAGATGTGGGAAGCCTGTAGTGACCCGATTTTGGAGCACAATACTTTATAATTTTTTATTGTCCTTATTTTTTAAAGGTTGGGCCTTTGGAGGCGGTCTCTGTGAAATCAAAAAAATTTAAAAAATTCCGGAAATTGGATTTTATATATATATTTTCTGCCTCCCTGTTTTATATTCAAACTCCGAAATTTGGTCACTACATGCCTCAAACATCCTTGTTCCTTTCCATATCGTAACCCACGACAAAATTCCAAAATGGAAAAATTTGGTTTGAATGACACCCAAATAGAAACTAATTTGTCGATTTTATAGAGAGGTTTTGCTTCAGTACTGCGAGCGTCGACACTACCTTTCCATAGCTTGAAAGTGGGATGGGTACCTATATGCATGTATCCCAAAACCTTTCTATAAAATCGACAAATTAGTTTCTATTTGGGGATCCTTCTCACCTAATGTGTTTCCTTATGGAGTCCGGCTCTGTCACACTATGGAAAAGGGCAAGGATGTTTGAGGCATGTAGTGACCAAATTTTGGAGTTTAGAAGGCAAGGAGGCCAGAAACACGCGAATAGAGCCCAATTTCTGTAATTTTCTGATTTTATAAATAAAAACACAATGGATCCATATTGAAGCCGAG